AGGAGGCGGAAACCAGGGACAGGGCTATCAGAACAATAGCCGAAACTATAACTACAACTATAACAATAACTACAACCAGCATCAGGGTGGCGGCTATCAAAACAACTACGTTAACCGACAGCAATATGGCCACAATCAGAGATTCAATCAGGACAATTCGAATCAACAGCGCAGCTTTAACAACTACAATGGCCCAAGGAATAACAACTACCAGCAACAAGGCGGCAGCAGACAGCAGAACCAGAATTATAGAAGATTTTAAGTGTATCATACATACAAATTATTATGTAGCTGATAACAAAAATGTAATCCATGTTGAATTACATTATTTTTTAATGAAGCAAATATACTGATTAGGGATTTTCAAACAAATTGTTCTTCAAATGAAACACCCATTGCATTTTTATCAAAACAGTTTTCAGCCAGCCTCTAGTCTTAGTGCCTCAAAGAAAATAAGTCAAATTAAAATAATGAACATATTCCAATTGACTGCGTTTGAAAACGATTTAACTGGAAAATACAAAAATGTAGCAACAATGTAGCAATAGATTTTCAATTATTTTCAGATAAATAAAATAGAACATAATGAGGTGGAAAACTGATGTATACAAAAAAAGTGTAGTTAAATTCAAACCAAACTACGCAAATGTAAAAAAAGTTTGATTAAAGCCCAAGTCGCCAATAAAACCAAAAGCGTGTATGGAATAGCATTCGCTATATTTAACGAATGGAATGTTAATATTTCGATTTCCATGTAACATAATAAATATTTTAATTTCGAAAACAATACTCATTACAACTAAGTGAGAATCTTAAAATAAATGGGGCCTTTTTTTAAAACGATCATGCTTTCTCAACAAAGAAAAGTTCACTGAGCTTGAAAAATATATAGATTATATTTACGAATGCTTCTAAATCCACGAGCTTGAATGAGAGCGAATAGTTTAAAATATGTATCGATTATATGAATACGCTTAAACGGTAACACAATGTGAGCTTAGTTCACGTTCGATTCGGAAGAGTTTGGCTATCGGTTCGGTATGAGTTGCGAGCTTATCAGATATTGGTGATAACGTTCTTGTTGCGATCGGATATGCTGTCGAACTTTCCATGGCTGGAGAATGGCGTGCGCATACGTCGCGTGAAGGAGCGTAGGCACCGCTGCCCATCCAGACTGTCCGGGTTGTTGGTCACCGCAAGAAGATTGACTAAAAATAGTTACAAAATTACAATTCATACCCTTAAGTGTTTAAAAATCTTTTCTTAACTTACCTCGTTGCTCGAGCAGTTTAATCTGTTTTTTGGCCTCTCTTAGCTTGTTCATCAGTATCTCGTTCTTGCGCTTTTCCACGGTCAGCTCCAGGCCGAGCTGCAGCTTGCTCTTGGAGTCAACAGCACTCAGAATTCTGCAAATTAAACGAACAATATATGCATGAACCCCTTTATCACAAATGTAACTAAATACGATTATCGCTAATGCTGTCGTGTTAATCAACTTACGGATGACTGTATATGGACTGCGAAGTGGGTCTTTTTTCGGGATCTGGGTGCATCATCTGGGCTATGAGCTCGTTAAAATCCCTGCTCAGACTCGGAAGAATCGGCACCTTGCCATCTCGCAAGTTATGCCATTCGGGTCCATTTTTTGGAAGCGGACCACCACCGGCCACTTCGAATAGCGTGATGCCCAGCGAGAAGATGTCAGCCTTGAACAGATTAGAATAATCCTCGTGAAGAATCTCCTTGGGCAGGTAACGGCAGTCTCCCTCCTCGACGTGAGGTTCCTTAACGGAGGTCACGTGTCCCAGGTCGCCGATCTTGTACGTAACTAGGTTCTCTGAATGGCGCAGTTCTTCGTATACGCTGTCCATGCCATCGTCGTCTTTGGTCTGTTGCGGCTGAACCTCCACCAGCTTGTGTGCATTGGGATTCATGGTAGAGAATATGTTTTCAGGCTTCAGATCCATGTGCACCAGGTCATTTGAGTGAATGTAGCGCAGGCCCTCTATCACATGCATGAGGACAATCTTCAGCTCTGCCTCACCCAAGCAATGATCTTGGATGCGCGCATGCAAGCTGCCACCATCGCAGAATTCATTCTGTATCAGCATATGATCGTCCTCCGCCCACGCGGAATAGTATCTAACCACGTTATCATGCTTGCCCAGTACAGCATGTGCCCAAACCTCGTTCAAGGCTCTCTTTCTGCAAGCAAAAAGATTGTTAAACGCCGCTCATTGTGGATACACTAATGACTACTCACTCGAAAGAACTGCCTGCCACCGGCTTCTTACTCTTTTTGATCGCATAAATGCAGCCATCTAGTCGATTGACGCACTGGAACACCACACCGAACTCGCCAACGCCGATCACGTTGACTTGCATGAACTCCCGCTTGAAGCGGCTGATGTTCGTGTCATGCAGGGCCAGCCGCTTGGGTGCCTGCTGGTGGATTTCGCGCATTGAGTCGCCCGCCTCGTCCGCTACATCGTCGTCGCAGGCATCACTGAGCAAATACTTTTGCATAGCATTCACGTTTAGGTTGAGGTTTTCGCGTCCGAATTGCGTGCGACAACGCTTCTTATTGTGAGCCATGAGGCCTAAAAATATAAAAATGGGTTATTGGATTGCTAATAAGACTAAACTGGAAAATTTGTAAGTAATGTGCAAATTAGGGCACAGAACTGGAAATTGATACCTATATATATATTTTAATATATAACAGATGTCGGGATTAAAATTCCTAATTTTAAGTTAATTCAAAAATGGATGTTAAACTTACTATCTGGCGTGAAGGGATTCACATTTGCCGTGTCCTGGGTGGGCAGTTTGCGGTTGTGCAGGGGCAGGGATCGCGGTCGCTCTGACAGGCGGAAGAGGTCATCGGAGCGCCGGGAGGCATTTACTGCCGCTGCTGCCGCCGACAGATGGTTGCTGCACTGCGTCGTCGACTTCTGCAGGATGGTCTTTGGAGTAGCCGGTGTGCTAAAGAGTCGCAGGGCGCGCACCTTTTGGCATGGCGGCGACATGGACACGTCCGCGTCGCCGCCTCCTTCGCCAATCTTACTGTCCAGCTGCTGCTCCTGGACGGAGGATAGCTTCTGCCGTTGCTGAAGGGGATGCTGCGGACTCGTTCCTTCGGGCGTGTCCTTGTCAAAATCGTCGTCGGCGAAGCGGAGCTTGCGCGGATTGAAGACCTGCGGCGATGGGGAGCGCGATCGCAACTCGACGCTTGAATCGAGTGAGGTGACGCTCATCTCGTGCTCCGACTGGCGGAATGCCATTGTTGGTGTAGCTGTCCAGCTGACCGCGGTGCAAGACGATTCTGTTCGCTCTTTCTGATTTCACAACTATTTGTATAGAAACAGGCGGCAGCAAATTGGATGCAATAGTTAAAAAAAAGGCAAAACAAAACACAAAACAAAATTTAACTGGAGAAATGCGAGTCTATCAATGTGGCCGTACCCGATGCGCAATAAAATACTAGCTCTAGACAAAAAATACTGAATGCAGAGTTGCACACAAAATACTAAAATTGTATGCCCAAGCAAAGAATACCAGCATAGGAAATCAGTACGTACACTAAGCCAGAGCTACCATACTTCCTCAATACCGCTCATGCCCGCCAAATTCAAATATACAACTTATTTTGGCATTTAATTTATTGATTGAATATCTGTATTTTAGTGTTCAGCGCATTTGCTATATGATTCAAACACACATCTCAAGAATCCATACATATGTATTTTTTTAATACTTAACTATGACATCAATGTATGAATAATTATTATGCACGGTTGCAAGACTTAATTATTACGAATATAGAGACACAGCATACAGAGATTGGAGTCAAATAATCAAGTGTGTTGTGTTTTATAAATTGAAAATTGTGTAGAATTGACATGAAAATGGTGGCGATGCTTCGTCCTCTGCACATTCGAGTATAATTCCAGGGTAAGCAAAAAAATCCAAGGCAAATCAATTTACATAGCAATCTTGACTAGATCGATAATCTGCGGCTGCCGATCCATTTCTATATCTCAAATTTCCTTCCGTCAAATGATTTTCCGAAGCGCTCTTCTTTGTTCTGCGTGTGCTTGTATTTGTTGTTGTGTTGGAACATACGAATACCTAAAATATGCAAACTCGAGTTCCACTATAAATTAAAACCCTTAACTAATATGGTTTTGGACAACTAAACCGTATATGGATACTGCATGAAAAAGTATTTGGGAATCTGTCTTGTTACATGTGAGGCTGTTTCTTTTGGGAATGAGGGTTAGAGTCCAGTGCGTGGGGAGCCCATCTCGCCGGATTCATCGGGGGGTTGCAGCTCAGGCCCTCATCATCGCGCTTTGGGCTACGTCTGCATCCGTTCGGTGTCGCTAGTCCCTTGAAACGGAACGTGAGGCGGACGAGTCACCACGACGCCTGGGCGGCGATCCACGGCGAACCGCTGGCGACGCCGATCGAGATCGTGAACGCGACCGCGGCGATCCCCTGACCCGGTCATCGTCTTCATCGTCATAGCGCCGCTTTGGAGGCGGCGGAGAATCTACCGCTCCACTGCCGTTGCGCTCGTGGTCGCTATACCTCGACGCCGATCCGTTTTCGTCCCGTCCGTTCGAGCGGCCGGAGCGACGGCCTACCGAGCCGGCGGAGCGACTGCGGGATCGAGTGCCAGACTTGGAGCGAGTGCGCCTGCGTCGCGATGTGCTGCGAGATCTGCTGAATGAGTTGCTTCTGAAAATAAAATGCGAAAATCATCGTGATTAGTTATGAAGTTTTCAAAAATGTACATCAACATTTCAAACAATTTTGATTTAGGGGACCATTTTATATGGATTAATATATTGCAACTTAAGCTAATTTCAGAAAAATAAATTATCAATTGAAAAGAGTGTGCTATATTTGTTCCAGCATTGTAAGTCTTGAATACTTTCAGATCTATTTATAGATCACTAAAAAAAAAAAGACCATAAAATGTATAAAAATTATGGAAAGAAACACAAGACAGTATAATATTAGGACCTTTCCCAGTTTTAATTCTGCATTTCACATAAAGATCACATGTATCATTGCTTATGGGAGACCCATCGGCTGCTCAATGCTTGCCGCCCTTTTTCTTGTAGTGTTTGTGGCCGTGCTTCTTGGAGCCCTTCTCGCCGTGCTCCTTCTTCTCCTCGAAGCTGTCGCCGTACTTGTGCTCCTTCTTGTACTTCTTGTGGTCCTCGTCGTGGTGACCCTTCTTGTAGTGGCCGTGGTGCTTCTTGTGGCCCTTCTTCTTGCCGCCCTCGTGCTTTTCGCCCTTCTTGTGCTCGCCGTGCTCCTCGGCATGATGATGGTGCTCCTTTCCATATTTCTTGTGATGGCCGCCCTTGTGCTCATCATCGTAGAACTTCTTCTCCTTGACGTACTCATCCTTTTTGAACTTCTTGTGGTATTCTAATTCCTTGTGGCCCTTCTTGTGCTTCTTTTTGTGATGATGTTTGCCGCCCTTCTTGTGGGCGCCGTGTTCATGCTTCTCGCCATGCTCATCCTTCTCGTCGTAGTGTTTCTTCTTCTTTGATCCCTTGTCGCCGTGGTGGTGCTCGTGGTCTTCCAGCTCATGGTGCTTCTTCTCGTCCTCCTCCCATTCCTTGTGCTCCTTGTGTCCGTGCTCACCCTTGTGCTCCTCGTCACCGAACTTCTTCTTCTCGTACTTGTCGCCACCTTCCTCCTCCTCGGAAGATGAGGCCTCCTTCTTCTTGGCTGCCGCGTAGGTCAGCAGGAGTCCCAGGACCAGCAGCAACTTAAAATGACCATGCATCTCGCATCGTTTTACCATTCAAATGACACCGGCTGCAATTGCTTTTATATACCACGCCGTTGACCACAAAGTGGTCAAAATGTCTGGCATCATGATGCAAGCAAATGCAAACATTTGGGGCTGACGTAAAAACTTTCTGCTTCATTGGTCTCTTTACCGCATTCAAATATACTTTTTACCTCGCAGAGAGTGACAGATTGGCCTCCAAAGTTTGGAGCTGCTTCTGAAATATGTTGCAAGACTTCGCAGACATGAACTGAATGCCCAAGGTGCACCTAATTCTTAAAATCCAGTTTTTGCGAAAGTAATTGTGTAATTTGAGTATTAAAAGGACACCAAATAAATTCATTAATATAAATGCAGGATGTCTCCAAAAACAAAATGTAAAATACTAGGATTAGACGTAAATACATATGTAAGTTAAATGTGGAAAATCTACTTCACTTTCGAAAATTTAAATCAATACGAAAAACATTTTCATATTTGTAGTTTGTTATGCAAATATTACATTTTATTTCTAATGTACATCAGAAACTTTAATATTGTTGATAATTGTAAAATCCTATACTTTACAGAACGGTAACCTAGGATGCTAAAACTTAAGGCCTACAACTAGTCAAGGTGGGAAACTACTCCTGGTGCTTTGACTTTTTCTTTTTCTTTGCTGGTGTTGGCTGGTCCTCGGGCTCGGGGGCTGCCGCCTCCTCAACGGCCTCCTCCTCGTCCTTCTGCTTCTTCTTCTTTTTCTTCTTCTTCTCAGACTTGACCTCCGCGTCCTCCTCAACAGCTTCCTCCTTCTTAACAGGCGTCTGTTCGGACTCGGAGTGCTTGCGCTTCTTCACGTTCAAGGTGTTGTCGGCCTCCGGTTGGTATGTGAACACCTCACTAAAAAGTCGAGAATTAATTAATACAAAGAACAATTGAGAATTTGTCTAATTGTAAACTCAATTTCGCTCAGACAGCCAAGGTTTATCGTCATCATAATCGGATAAATGCGAAACCTTTTGGGTATCATCACTGGAAATCGGTATACTCTTATATAATTGACAGCTAAAACCCACCTCTTGGCCTGGTACTTCTCGAACTTTGCCTTGGCCTTTCCGGTGCCCGAGAGTTTGCGCAGGTTTCCCTCCTCCAGCAGTCGCAGCCGCGACTCTAGTTTTACCTTGTGTGCCGCTCCGAGCTCAAAGGTGGCCTCCTCGCCGAAGGCATCAACGCGAGTAGCAAGAGATGCTTTAGCGGCCAGCGAGCGTGACATTTTGCCCTTGTTCTTCTGGCTTGCCTGTCCCACCAACTGGGCGTGATAAATCAAACCGTACTTTGGCGTATCCTTCTTGGTCTTCAGCGCACGGAAGAGGGCTTTTTCGGCGCCCAGAATTTGAACAGTGGATGAGGGATGCTTGGCCAGGTTGATCAGCGAGCCAGCATGGGCAATCAGTCGAGCGCCCACTGTGTCGCCAACGAGCACTGTCAAGTTCGGAGCCATGGCCATCATTCTGGCCTTCAAGTAGTCGTACAAGTGGGTGCGGTAATCGTTAATCGATATGATCTCGTCGCACAGGCACTGAATGTTCAGAACATCCTCTTCGGAGATTTCGGTACCCATAGAGATCTCGGCCGCCTCCTTGACCTTTTCCTCCACATCTTCTGGCAAAATGTCGGACAAATCGCTTGTGGCCATGTTGTCCCTGGTGCCCACCAATTTAATGGTTTTCACGAAGGCAATGTTGTCGGTGATGATCTTGCCCAGCTCGGGAAAATGCCATCCGTACCACTCGCGTGCACGCATCATGTAGTTGTTCAGCTCCTTGTCCAGGTCATCCAGCAAGCACTGGGCCTGCACAATCATTGTGTCGATCTTGTCGGGCGAGAACTTGAGCTTGTAGCGAGACAAAGAGTGCGCGAGACCCAAGGCCATGGCGGTCATCTCCCGCTTAGGTAGTCCACCGAGCAGACTATCTGCCTGCTGGCGTATGCAGCGCATCAGCTCCTGGACGCCAGTGTTGTAGACACACTGTACGGACAGCTTGTCCTTGATGGCTGTGCCCAGTTTGGCATCGGCAACCAAGAGCGAAGACTGCACGTCGTCAACGAGTAGCTTCTTTAGGGTCTTTTTCAGCGGCTTGGCCACCTTGCCCTCCACTGCCGCCGTAGCAGCGGCCAGCGCCTCTGTGGTGTCATTAAATTTCTCAAAGTGCTTCAGCTTCAGCAGCTTGTTGGCCTTTTCCGGAGTCTCAAACTCCTGGTACAGATTGTCCACCTGCTCCAGTTTCTTTTCGTCCAGCAGCTTAAAAATCGCGTAGCCCGCCGGCGTTTCGTAGAGCACAAACATCACGTCACACTCTGCTCATTTAGTTTCAATTTTAATTCAATTTAAAACCACCGAAACTCTCGGCAGTCAGCAGCAACTTAACCTTCTTTTCCGTATGCCGCGTGTAAAAGAAAAATCCAAAATGAAGTGCAAGCACGTGTACCATCGGTCTTCGGCGTTGCCATTTGGATCGCGCTTAACAGCACCACTGTAAATAATTCACCACGAACGTAAAAGCGCGGGGAAAATAGCGTAGTGGGTGGCTTACAGTCGCCAGCTACCCTTTTATTAACCACTTCTTTCAATTTGTTTAATTATAATTCACAATCAAACTTAAATTTGAATTTCAGTGGTTAAAAATATAAACAAATGTTCTAATATTTGTTTTTTAGGGGAATTTGCTTAATATTTGTCACGTAACTATTTTCTTACTTCTTGAAATTTTGGATCAAATTGTTGTAAATATCTCAAATGAATAACAAAATATCATATCATATCACGAAATATCACCACATAACTATTTTCTAGTATGTACTTTTATTAAAAAATGTCGTTTTTAGTATCTTGAAAGAAGACACCTACTGTTGTCATGAATGATTTTCCTTAGTCAAGAAGGAACCCGATATACTTCTCTTATCAAAATTAATGGGAAACCACCCGAGCACGTGTGCGTGCTGTTATGTTAAAGCACTACTCGATGCGCAGCAATTAACAGCACACATTGCGCATAACAGCACGGTGTTAGTTTTAACATGTGCCAGAGGTGTCCAAACAAACTCAACATTTTTGCATGGACATACACACACGCATGCACGTATGTATGCGTTTGCTTTTATGTATGCGTATGTTTGTATGTATGCGTTCCTCTCGCCATGTTACAAAAAGCAAAAACTTTTTGGCAACGACAATGAATGAAAAATGGAAATGGCGAATTGCGAATGGGAATTGCGCTTACCTGCGTCGCTGCCTGGCCTTCCTTTCGCGGCAGTGGCGAGCGAAATGGCCCCGTCCGCCGCACTCGTAGCACTTATCGTCTCCACGACCACCGCCGCCACGGTCGCGTCCACCGAGTCCACCTCCACCGCCGCTGCCACCTCCTCCACCACCACCACCTCCTCCGCCGGACCTGGCATACTTTCCGGTGGACAATTCCACCCGGGCACGGCGTCCGCAAACCGTCCGTCCGTCCAATCCGCGCACCGCATCCGCGGCATCACGGGCACTCTCGAACTCCACGAAAGCGAAGCCCGGCGGATTGCGGGCTATCCAGACGCTGCGCAGGCTGCCGTACGCCCCAAACACATACTCCAGATCGTTCTTGCGGGCATTGTTGCCCAGATCGCCCACGTACACCTTTCTATCGCTTGGATGGCGCGACATTTCTGTTTATTTCGCTTTTCCCCGGGCCCAAATTAATGTGGCAGCAGCGCAGAAAAAAATCGATGATGGGTTGGAGTCACTTGCCACCGCCTTCCTGGGAAGTTCGCACGGTCAATCGCGCACTGGCGAACACTTTTATTCACTTAACGCGGTCGGCAGACGCGAATTGTTGTGTTTATTTTCTATTTAATGCAGCGCAAAACTCATTTTACCGGGTAGCAAACAGAGTGACCGTGGGCAGACCGTTAAAAGAAACTACGGACTCGCTAAAAATATACTAAAAGTTATGCTCACTTGGCGGCTAACGGTCCTCTAATAGCAGGAGGGTCTGGCAACAATCGCGTCCAGGGCCGACAAATACAAATCGGTTTTCCCTTTTTTTAACAAATAAAAAAAATATATTTAAAATGATTCTTCACTTTCACTCTTCATCCGCATGAACAAAATGGCTCATTTGGTTTTTTAGTACGTATTCCGTAATTGAATCGTTTTTACCATTAAGATATATTGTACTGGAAATTAAGTGCACTGAGTATGTACTATTCATATAAGGTTGTTAAATATCTCCCTTCCGCCTTTTTGTCTTTTGAATTTCGCGGCTATGTACAAAGCGCTACAGAGCTCGTATCTGGCAATACATAATTTGAAAGGTCCTGACGTACAAAACGGCGCTATGCATGATTAGTTTGGATATTGCGTTCAACATTTATAGACGTGTAAACATGGAGTTCACTAACGCCGAAATTCGCGCTATTTTAAAGTTTTCCTTCGTTAAAGGCAAATCCGCTAGAGAAACGTTCCGTGAGATTACTGGTGTTTTGGGGGATGGTACTCTATCACTTCGAACCGCGGAGGAATGGTTTCGACGATCCAGAGCCGGTGAAAACGACACCATGGATAAGCCAGCCGGCGGAAGACCTGTGACGACAAATACCGATCAAATCATGGAATACATCGAGTTAGACCGGCATGTGGCATCTCGTGACATCACCCAGGAGATGGGAGTTAGTCACCAAACCATTTTAAACCATCTGCAGAAGGCTGGATACAAAAATAAGCTTGATGTTTGGGTGCCGCATGATTTGACGCAAAAAAATCTTCTGGACCGAATCAACGCCTGCGATATGCTGCTGAAACGGAACGAACTCGACCCATTCTTGAAGCGGATGGTGACGCGACGAAAAATGGATCACATACGACAATATGAAGCGAAAACGGTCGTCGTCGAAGGCCGGTGAATCGTCCCAAACAGTGGCCAAGCCGGGATTGACGGTCAGGAAGGTTTTTCTGTGTGTTTGGTGGGATTGGAAGGGAATCATCCACTATGAGCTGCTCCCATATGGCCATACGCTTAATTCTACCATCTACTGCGAACAACTGGACCTCTTGAAGCAGGCGATCGACCAGAAGCGTCCAGAATTGGCCAACAGGAAGGGTGTAGTGTTCTACCAGGACAACGCCAGACCACACACTTTGTTGATGACTCGTCAGAAGCTACGGGAGCTCGGATGGGAGGTTTTATCGCATCCACCATATAGCCCGGACATAGCGCCAAGTGATTACCACCTGTTCCTGTCCATGGCGAATGCCCTTGGTGGTGTAAAGTTGAACTCAAAAGAGGCTTG